TCTCTCCATCCTTGTATCCCTCTATCTATTCACCTATCTATCCTATCCTATCCTACTCTACCCCTTAAAACTTTTAAAAAAGAAACATAAAAGCTAACACAAACTACTATAAACTAAGAAAGAAAGAAAAAAGGAAGAAATCAGAGGAAAAAGCTAAACGTGCAAGAAAAGGGGAAAAAGTAGAAAAGAAAGAAAAAAGCTACAAAAAAAGCAGCTACCCATGTGCACCACTCAGGTGACCCCCAAGGACACAGATAAGTCTCCAAGTGGCCACAACGACTCTCTAAAAAAAAAAAAAAAGGCAAATGACCAGCTGTCTGCAAGGAGTATAAATCCTTCCATTCCCCCACCCTCCAGTCAGAGCTGAAGAAGCTTCTAGGATGAGAAGCGAAACGTCTTCCAAGGAAAAGAAAAAAGTCCACTTGTGAAAAAGCACCTTTGGGTCAACTACGACCTGGATGACTGAGAACAGACATTCCCCAATGGAATGAGTCCTTACCTGGTGGAAGATCAGAGCTTGGCTGATGTAGCCCCAGCTGCTGCTGGGAGACAGGTAATGGAGGGCCACCAGCAGGACGACCATGAAGGCCACACTGGCCGAAGCGTAGATGGGACTGATGAGGAATACCATCACGACACAGCCGGCAATGCCCAGCACACAGGTGTGCCACGTGAAATACTTGAAGGTGGGCCTGGGGAAGGAAAGCAGGTTAACAGGTTAGGACGCCTGGAATCTCTTTGGGGAGAGATGCTCTTCTTTGGGGGAGCGATGCCAAGGTCCTGAACTACAGCTCCCAAGACCCCCAGGAGGAGGAGCAGATGGGAGTTGCACTTCCACACAAAAGCTGCATTCACACAACCGGCTTCCTCCGCCTGCTGAATGCATCCCTGAGAACAGGGGTCTTCAAACATGGCCCTTTTATGACTTGTGGACTTCAACTCCCAGAATTCCTGGCTGAGGAATTCTGGGAGTCGAAGTCCACAAGTCATAAAAGGGCCAAGTTTGAGGACCCCCGCCTTAGAACATAGGCTAATAAGGAGAAGTTATCTTGGAGGCCATCTAGTCCAACCCCCTGCACAAGCAGGAGACTCTATACCATTTCAGACAGTCCAGTCTCTTCTTAAAAACCTCTAGTGATGGAGCACCCACAACTTCTGGTGGCAAGCGGTTCCACTGGTTAATTGTTCTCACTGCCAGGAAATTCCTCCTTAGTTCTAGGCTGGTTCTTTCCTTGATTAAGTTTCCATCCGTTGCTTCCTGTCCTGCCTTCAGGTGATAGGTCAACCCCCCTGTTCTCTGGGGCACCCCCTGAAGCACTGGAAGACTGCTACAGGCAGTCCTCAACTTACGACCACAATAAAGCCCACAATTTCCACTGCTAAGCAAGATGGTTGTTAAGTGAGTTTTGCCCCACTTGATGACCTTTCTTGCCACCCCTGAGTGGTGGTAAGTTGAGGACTACCAGTAGGATAGCACAGGCTTAAAACTTTGCAATTTTATGACGAGACGGGACTCTCCACGTCCCCCACACCCCAGACCTATTGTGGCTGGTGCACCGGACAGATCATTAACAACCAAAATCCTGAGCAGGGGGTTGGACTAGATGACCTCCAAGGTCCCTTCCAACTTTATTATTATTATTATTATTATTATTATTATTATTATTATTATTATTATTATTATTATTATTATTATTATTGATCATCACACAGTCAGCTAGATGTTCAGACTGGATTTGGCATTTTTGTCTACCTATCGAGTCCTTCCCAAGGACCTGGGATGGGCAGATGTGGATGTTTGATGTTATTACAGATCTCGTCGCAGGATGGAGGCAGTTCCTAGTAAGGCCGCCTTTTGCAATTGACTAATGGCGAATTTGTCAATGCCGATGATCGTGTCCAAGTGGTGCTCCAGTTGTTTTGGGATGGCACCCAAGGCGCCTATTACTATTGGTACTACCCTTGCTTGCCTTTGCCACAGTCTTTCTATTTCTATTTGTAGGTCTTTGTATTTTGTTATCTTCTCCAGTTCTTTCTCATCTATTCTGTTGTCTCCAGGCACTGCCACGTCCACTATCCAGACTTGTTTGTCTTTCTTATCGACAATTGTTAAGTCCGGGGTGTTACGTTGCAGGTGCTTGTCTGTTTGAATTCTGAAGTCCCAGAGTAGTTTAATTTTATCATTTTCTATGACTTTCTCTATTTTATGATCCCACCAGTTCTTGCTTACAGGCAAATGATATTTCTTGCAGATCTTCCAATGCACCATTGTTGCTACTTTGTCATGCCGCTGCTTGTAGTCAGTCTGTATTATTATTATTATTATTATTATTATTATTATTATTATTATTATTATTATTATTATTATTATTATTATTATTATTACTACTACTCCTACTACTACTACTACTTCTACTACTACTACTACTACTATTATTAAAATCTGTCTGGGGTGGAATTCCAAGCCGGGTTACAGGAAATAATAGTCTTTATTTAGGCTTCAACCGGCAGCATCCCAGAAGACTGGAAGTTGGTTAATCATCTTTCAAGACAACAAATACAAAATACATAACTTTCCCCCAGTGGAACGATTAAGGCCGTGCGGCACACTCATCTCTAACCACAAAGTACTTGTGTTGAAAAGGGATTTCGGGACTGCCGTTTCCCCAGGCTACCCTACGCATCCAAAATGAATGAATGGCCGCAGGAGAGAGAAAAATAAATAAATCTTTTGCATATACATTTTTATCACGGACTTCTTCCCTTTCCCTGCCAAACCCATGACGCCGTGGAGTGCCTGGAATTTTGCACTTGGGAATGTTGGCAAAAATTCATCAGACGCTGCGTGACTCGGGTTGAGGATACGGGGATAGGAAACGGAGAGATCTCATCTTAAGGAGAGCCCGTTTGGTTTCCTTGGTGAAGGCACCAGGTTAAAAAGCAAGAAGCTGTGAGTTCTAGTCCCGACTTAGGCATGATAGTAAACTGGATGATTCTGGGCCAATCACCAGGAGACAGGGAATTCTAGTCTCATCTTGGGCATGAAAACTCCTGGATGGCATGGGCCAATCACCAGGAGATGGGGAGTTCTAGTCCCGCCTTAGGCATGAAAGCCAACTGGGTGACTCTGGGCCAATCACCAGGAGACGGTGAGTTCTAGTCCCGCCTTAGGCATGAAAGCCAATTGGGTGACTCTGGGCCAATCACCAGGAGACGGTGAGTTCTAGTCCCGCCTTAGGCATGAAAGCCAACTGGGTGACTTTGGGCCAATCACCAGGAGACGGTGAGTTCTAGTCCCGCCTTAG